TCCCACAAGCCCCACCTCGTAATATTGTTGCATTGGGGACCAAGCTTTTAATAGCAAGCCTTTGGGGGGGGCATTTTAGATTCAAACCATAACATTGATATTGTTTTGGTTTTTTGGTAGTTGTGTATTTAATTTCATATTCCATTTGCTCATTACTGATATCTAAGAAAGTAATTGATTGACTTTTGTATATTAACCTTATATCCTGCATCCTTTATATATTAACTTATTCTAGTTTTTTTGCTGGTTCTTTCATATTTTCTATATAGACAATCATGTCATCTTCAAGCAAAAACAGATTTATTCTGAATCTATATTTCTTCTGTTTTCTTAGTCCATTAGCTAGAAAAGTTAAAAAGGAATGGTGGGACTGGACATCCTTGTCATAGCATAGGCTGAGGCAGTAAGGGTTTGGGTTTTTTTGTAAGTATTTGTGAAATTGGACAAGTTCTGTATTCCCAGTCTAGATGGTAAATTTTCATAATACTTCATCTGTATTTAGATTCCATAAAATTTACAAATAAAAAAGTAGATTCACATACTTAAGGTGTTCTTGTGTACTTAAATGTAACAGTAATGATAAAATATTATTTTTTAAACTTAAAAAGATAAAATTACATCTCTGCCTCACTTGCACTTAATCACATTAAAAGTGCTCAGTAGTTACATATGCCAAGTGACTATCATATTGAACAGTTGAGCTAGAATAATTACTTAGACTATGTAGCACTCGCTCATATTTTGATTTCCTAGAGAAGATTCTTTCAGCCTTCTGCCTTAAGACTAAAGGTCAGTTTTCTGGGGTCTGGGACTGGAGAAGGAAAGTACTGGCTATCTCAGTATATAATAGGTATAGATTTACTTACTCATCTTTTTCATGTATGAGCCTTTGCCCATAACTATGCCTGGCATCATCCAATCCAGAGGTCATCTGTTGCAACTTTTTCTGAGAATAGACTTTCAGACTTCTGCTGGAGGAAGACAGTCATTTCTAGTGGCATGGTGGAGGTTTGAGGTATGTCTCCTTCTTCAACAGTTTTCTCCTGTTGTTACAGCTTCCCCTTTCCTCTGTCCCTCATTTCCACAGATATTGGCCATCACTAATTCCTGAGCCTGTAGAAGGGCCTTCAGTGTAATAATTTGTGCTGGTTACTGTACTTTCCCATTTAAGATTTTTTTTTCCTATATCTTTGGGTTAAGTAACCAGTCCTTCTAATGCCTCAGCTTCAAATTTTAGTTGGAGTTCCTTTTTTTTGTTGTTCTTTCCTCTGTCCCTCATTTCCACAGATATTGGCCATCACTAATTCCTGAGCCTGTAGAAGGGCCTTCAGTGTAATAATTTGTGCTGGTTACTGTACTTTCCCATTTAAGATTTTTTTTTCCTATATCTTTGGGTTAAGTAACCAGTCCTTCTAATGCCTCAGCTTCAAATTTTAGTTGGAGTTCCTTTTTTTTGTTGTTCTTCCTGACCTTGTAGGCTTTCTATCCATTATTCATTTCTGTAAAAAAAAAAAAAAAAAATCTTTCTGTAATTAATCTATATTCATGAACCAGATTTTGGTGTTTTAAAAAATTTAATTCAGTATCAGCATTTGTTGTAAAGGGTTTTAGTGGTAGTATTTAGTGGAAGACTCCATAGGAGGGACAGGAAGTGAGCTATAATAGTATGGGTTTGATTTGGGGACAGAACAGATGGCAAACAAGGAGAATTGTAAGAGTGGAAGCATTTAGAAGTAGGTAAGGTGATTAGAGACTTTTATAAAAAGAGTTTGGATGTCTGATGCATAAAGCATAAATACAACTTCAGTACCTTCCATCTTCCTGGAGACCACTATTTTTAGTTGTTTTACTGCTCCTGATCTAGAAACTTTTTGTTTCATATCTCAGAATCCATAAAACTGATAATACAATTTTTAAAAAATTGAACAGAAAGCCATTTGTATATTAAATATATAGAATCTATAAGAAAAATGTACATAGTATTAAATAAATAAACCGTATACTCTAAATATACTGTAGTGATAGGTTTCCATTTCAGTAATTGAGCTTGCTGTTTGGGTGTTTTATGAGATTCTGAAGCAAGTTTTTGCCAGTACTTTGATTCACTGTTGGTTGTTGCTGCCCTCTGTTGGACTAGTTCAGAAAATGCAGGTTTCATTCTGCATGGATCACTGGTACTCTTTATTCCAAATTGAGCACTAATACATGGATAATTTTTTTTAAAAGGATCAAATGTATCTCTAATAATACCCCATGAATGCTAGGAAAACTGGTATCTTCCTTCTTATGAAAATGTGTCTTTATTATTCTTATCTAGAATCAAGAAGTAGCAATGTAGAAGAATTTGGGGAATGCAGATTTTTGGGCTTTCGAATGTGGAGACTGGAGTTCCATACCCAACTCAGCTTCTTTTCACGTGACTGATGATTTACCTCACTTGTCTGGGTGTCAGTTTCTTCATTGTAACAGTGAAGAGGTGGAAAAGACTTTGAGGGCTTCCCTGGGAATTTCCTTTTGGAGATTAGCATTTTAGGAAAACTGCCTCGGATTTTTGTATCTATTCAGAGGCAGTAAGAATGACTGTCTCAGTCTCTGCCTCAGAGAACTTAGTCTTGAAGTGAGTGGATGAGGCAGACAATCAAAAGGCCAGTGTGATTTAGGGTTAGCGCTCTGAGACTAGAAGTTGTCTATTACTGTGGAAACCTATGCAGTTAAGGGAGAACTGTCCTGTAGGGTCTGTTGGAGTTAGCTTTCCTCAGTCTACACTGTGATTTCAATGCTAACTCTTAACAGAAGCTTGACCTTTTCTGGACATGGAAGACAAAGTGAAGATTCACATTTGACACTGGATTGAACTGAGTTGTCATATGGGGAACATGAGTGTAATGATGCAGATTTTTTCCTATTCATAAAAAGGCTAGAAAAATAGCTTCATGGAGGAGGCAGAACTGATTTTTTCATTAGTTGAAAAAGGTTAATTAGCAGGCATTTACAAAACTTTGCCATGAACATAAAGAAAAAAATAAGACTTAAAATTAAGTAGGGTGAAGAAAAAATCCCACTTCCTGGACCTGCTCATTGAGACTTAATGTTATTTATATAAAAAGATAATATAAAACACAGTAATTATAAACTAAACACCCGTATAGTCACCATCCTTGTCAAGAAACAACATTGTAAGTACCTCAGATGCTGCATTGCCCCTCTCCCTTCACAGTTCTTCCACTTATCCCAGGTAAGCACTGTTTTGACATTTGTAGTGATCATTCCCTTTATAAATTGACACCCTCAATCATAAAGTACAAGCTTAACGTTTTTAACCTCAATGTATGTGGAACAGTAATTCAGTGTTATTGTTTATGAGTAGTTATACATTTATTCATTTTCTTTGCATAATTATTTTCTATCATATCAATATACTAATTTGCCCATTCTACACTTGATGGCTGTTTGGATTGTTCTGTTTTTATGTTCTAGCATGACTGTGAACACTCATTCCACATATCCTGCTACACATATGCACAATTAGCATTGTAGATATGTAGAAACTGATGTGTTTAGTGTATATGCACATTTCACTTTACTGGATATAATGCCATTTTGTTTTACTAAGTGACCACAGCAGTTTTCAAGAACCCCTGTTCCTCTACATCCAGAGACATGATAGATTTTGCCAAATTTGAGAGTGCAAATTTATGTCTCACTGTGATTTTAGTTTTCATTTCCTTGTTTACTTAATGAAATTGTGCACATTTGGAAAGTTTTGCAGTCATTGAATTTAGAGTGTGTTTGGTTCCTCGCTGTTTTTGTTTTTTGTTTTTGTTGGGTTTTTTTCCTCATTGAGTTTATTGGTACATTTTAGGTATACAGTATAGTTACATTCATCTTTGAGATCTTGTACCTTTACATGACAGGTTTTGGTTCTCATTTTTTCCCCTTATCCCTGCCCTCCCTTCACCCCCTCCTCCCTTCCCTATTTACAAATACTTTATTTCTATTTTCTTATTTTTTTTCCTTTTCCCTTATTACCTTTCCCCTACCCTTCCCATTTCACCTACACCTTTATCCCTTTTCTTCCTATTTCACATTGTCAGTTATATCACTAGGATCTTATCTACTATTATAGTTTTTCACACCAGAGAAACTATTTGGTATTTATACGTGTGTGACTTAGGAGTATATCCTCTATATGTATCCATTTTCCTATGAATGACTAATTTCTCATTCTTTATGGGGAGTAGTATTTCATTTTATAGAAAAACCACATCTTCTTTATCCAGTCTCCAACTGATGGGTAAATGGGCTGTTTCCAAGTTTTAGCTATTACAAACTGTGCTGCTATAAACATAGGTGCACATATGTCACTGTGATATGATTCTTTTAATTCTTTTGGAAAGATGTCCAGCAGAGGGATAGAAGGGTCAAATAGAACCTCTAATCCTAGTTCTTTGAGGCATCCCATATTGATTTCTGTAGTGATTACACCAGGCTGCACTCCCACCAACAATGGAGAAGGGTTCCTTTCTCCTCACAACCTTGCCAACATTTGTTATTGGTTGATTTCTTGATGGCAGCCATTCTTTGTGGGGTGATGGAATCTCATTGTAGTGATTACACCAGGCTGCACTCCCACCAACAATGGAGAAGGGTTCCTTTCTCCTCACAACCTTGCCAACATTTGTTATTGGTTGATTTCTTGATGGCAGCCATTCTTTGTGGGGTGAGGTGGAATCTCAGTGTTGTTTTCATCTGCATCTCTTGAATGACCACTGATGTGGGTTTTTTTGTTTTGTTTTGTTTTGTTTTGAGTGTTAGGTTAGTGTCATTCTATCTCTCCCTTACCTGAGGGAATATGCTAAACTTAGACAGAAATCTTAAATACTTAGGCAGAAATCTTACAGCTTGTAGAAAATAGCTTGGTCATTTCATTTATTTTCTTTTCCTTTCCTCCCCCCCAACCCATCTGGGTTTTGGAAGTTCTTAGCATTTCATTGATCTATCTTCTCCCTCCTTTTCGTGTTTCCTAGACTTTGAAGCGGCTCATGGCAGATGAGGTAAGGAAATTTTGTTTGGCATGTGCATGTTTTAGTTTATTTCCCATACTGTAACATTAACCAGTTTCTATTGCTTTAACTTTCTTTAACTTGTACTACTGATAGGGGATGAGTGTGAGAGTAAGGCCTTTTCCTAACTCTTTGTGGTTAATCCATTGCATGCATTTCCCTGGCATATGTATTAACTTGCAAAGTCAGGCATAGTCTTTTAGACTCCAAACTGAATGCCACTCATATCACTCGAAGCCCCACAATACCTCTAGATTGTTATTGTTATTTTCAGATGGGATGGACTGGTAAACTGTAGCTTATAGGTGTTTCATTTTAATTTGAACGTTATACTTGAAATTTGAGGAATAGTTCATTACCATTGAATTAGTAGAGAGAGACCTCTGAAGTACATCATTTTTTTGCTAACTATAGATAGATGCCACGCAAAGGGGCCTTTGAAGAACATGTGTTAAACCTTTGCTGCCTTCCTAACCCAAGCGCCATGGAGGGTACAAAAAGGAGAAAGGAATGGTTCCTAGTTTTAAGGCATTTGCTTGTTTATCCTATGTGATACACATCTTAAAATCTGTGGTTATACTCACCTCTGGAAAGGAGGGAACCTCTCAGGGCCTGGCCACATTTATTATTAGGTGTCTGTTACAAGGAATCTATGGGCATTTTATTGAGATAGCTTTGTACATAGATAATTGCAATTCTGTGCTGCTATACAGCTTAGAAATAGGAGGGGAAATCAAGAAGAAAGGTATCTTTTCCTAATAGAGATTGAAATCTTAATGCTTCAATCCTCTTAACTTTGAAAATAGAGTCAGTGTGCTAAATTAGATGTATGGAAGACTGATTTCTTCTTTCATATCAAAAGAATCTTGAATTCTTGGACCAAAGGAACTGTGCATGCATAAGAGGTTAAAGGGTTGGTTATTTGTTTTTCTTTTTTGGTACCAGGGATTGAACTCAGGACCTTGTGCTTGTGAGGCAGGTGGGAGAACCACTGATCTAAATTTCTGGCCCCAAGGATTGGTTATTTGATGTGTAGCTTGTTGTGCAAATAAAAATGGGTCATTGCTAATATATTTTTTTCTTTCACAGCTGGAGAGATTTACCAGCATGAGAATTAAGAAGGAAAAAGAAAAGCCCAATTCTGCTCATAGAAATTCTTCTGCATCATATGGGGATGATCCCACAGCACAGTCGTTGCAGGACATTTCAGATGAGCAAGTTCTAGTTCTCTTTGAACAGATGCTGGTAAGTTTCCATCCCTAAATGTGGTTTCTTCCTGAAATTGCATTTATAGGCATGGTGCCAAGGCCATTTTTTAAAAAATGAACAATTCCCCTTAATTAGCCCTTTATGAGAAAGAATTCTAAGCTTACTGTGATACCTTTGATTCTGTTTAATAAGGGACTAAATAGATAAGTACCAGTCTTCAGGCTTGAAATCTGTAAAGCTTGCAAACATCTGATCACTGATCACCTTGTTAATGTTCTTTTGTACAGCAGTACTTTAGCCATAAAGACATGATATGAGTGGGCCCAGTAGTAGCCTGAGATCACCTTTGGGTTAAGCCAGAGTACGTAAAGTGATGAAGCATTCACAGTGAATTCTATACATATTAAAAAGAAATAGAAATAGAAAGGCATCATTTGCCCAAGGTCCTCTACTGAGTGGTGAATCTAGAAAAGAGAATGCTGATATTTAAACACTAGAAGACTTTTAAAGATTATGTCTGAAGTCAGTTGAATTATGAAAAATATACAGCTATGTGACTGACTTTGCTGGTCTCAGTGTAAAACACTTGAGTGAGGAGAGAATATGTTGTGATAACCAAAGTAACGTGTTTAGGCCCCAGAGTTGGTACAGATTTTACAGTTTGGATGATACCAGTTATCCAGTCCTTCAGTCTGAAGAGACATTTAAGATCTATCTTCAGTGCAAAAATATACTGTATGAGCTGGATGTGGTTCCAGATGCCTGTAATTCCAGCTACCTGGGAGACTAAGGCAGTAGGATCACAAGTTCAAGGCCAGCCTGGGCAACTTAGCAGATTCTGTCTCACAGTAAAAAGAGCTGAGTATATAGCTCAGCATTCCCTGGATTCAATCCCCAGTATCACAAAACAAACAAAAAAATTATATGTGGTTTTCTTTCATTAATATAGAAGAAATTGTTCATTTATATTGAGTAAGTTTTTCTTAAGAGTATATATGTATTAAAATGTCTGTAGTGGGCTAATGAAATAGCTCAGTGGTAGAGAATATACTTAGCTTGCATGAGGCCCCGGGTGCACACACACACATGCACACTCATACAGAGTCTATAGGGATTTTTGCTAAAATGTTAGCCACATTTATTCCTGAGAAATTTTGGTCAGCTATTATAGCTTAAGTCTTTAGGAATCAATAAAACATCTATTCAATAATTATTTACTGTGCTCAACTTATCAGTAAGTATGCTGTAAAAACACTAAAAATTTTAAGGAATTTGAGGTAATTTTGTTCTCTCTCTCCTCCTTTTTTTCTCTATTTCTGCTAGCTGGATATGAACCTGAATGAGGAGAAGCAACAACCTTTGAGGGAGAAGGACATTGTTATCAAGAGGGAGATGGTGTCGCAGTACTTACACACCTCTAAGGCTGTGAGTCCTGGGGCAGGTACCCTTGACATGGGAGACTGCTTATCTGGGACCTGTTTTATGTTGCAAGCTTCATATAATGTGTAATGTCTGCATCAATTCTGTTTTATTCCATTATATCAGCCTACTAATTTTCTATTCTAATATTTGAGTTACTATTCTTACATACTTTTTGCATGACTTGAACTTTTACGACATAAAATGGGGAATGGGATATTCTTGAGTCTCATTTGGCTTGATGGTCTTTATGACGGATGTCTGCCCTGATATTATTTAAACTCTGTTAGTCCCCAGTTATTGGCTGGGCCTAATGTTTACTAATCTTTACATGTTTCTTCCATAGGGCATGAGCCAAAAGGAGAGTTCTAGGTCTGCCATGATGTACATTCAGGAGTTGAGGTCAGGCTTGCGGGATATGCCTCTGCTCAGCTGCTTGGAGTCCCTTCGTGTCTCTCTCAACAACAACCCTGTCAGGTGAGAACTCTAAGGAGGTAATGTGAATAGGATTCCAGTGTTGGAGTTCAGTGGTGATTGAAGATCAAAGGAACTAGGGAAGTATGAGAATGATCTGGATTGGGAATAAAGAGTTGTCAGTATAAGCTATATACATAAACAACTATTGATTTGATATTACATTGTTTTTCTCTTCCTTATAGTTGGGTACAAACATTTGGTGCTGAAGGCCTGGCTTCTTTATTAGACATCCTCAAACGACTTCATGATGAAAAAGAAGAAACTCCTGGGTGAGGAATTCCAGGTCTTTGCATCTTCTAGTTGGAGGGTTGGAGGGGGTTTGGCTCCTTGCTCCAAAGGAAATACAGTTAAATGTAGTCCGGCATGGTGGCTCACATCTGAATCCCAGGACTCAGGAGGAGGCTGAGGCAAGAAGATCACTGTGAGTTTGAGACCAGTCTGACATTAGTGAGTTCAAAGCCATCCTGGAGACCCCAAACCAAACCAAAAAACCAAACCAAAACAACCCAGTTAAATGTAAAGTTATAAACTAGGAGAGTATACTGTTAGCTGAGAATGGGGTTTATTGTAGGGTGACCAGAGAGTGAATGATGATTATAGACATAGGAAAGGGAGGAGGAGCTTAAATTTCATACTGGATAACATGGAATGTATACCACATTAGATTATTAGCCTTCCAGGGTTCTGTTTCAGTCTGGAAATCAGATCTTATTTGATCCAGAGCTGCCCAATGAGCTAGTCTGGGTTAAATCACATTTCAAAGTCTTGGAATATACTTAGTTTGGGGCTGTTTCTCCTGCAGCCTTCAGCGTTGGAATTCTGAGAATACCTTGTTATTCTTTAAGATAGGCTGAACCAAGGTGACTTCCTCTACCTCCTGGACCTCCTGCATGTACCTTCTTAGACTTGAAAGCAAAGAATAATAGATGGGTTGTTATTCTTGTAGAATTTAGCACTTAGGAGCCTAGAGGGAGTTAACAGGTTTTAGTGTAATACTAAATTATTGGGTTACAAGGGGATTAGTCAAAGGTCTTCGATGGTGGGGATCCTTTGTCAGCTTTTTTTTTTGGTCAGTGTTTCTAAGTCAAGTGCTGTGTGTTAGACATTACTCAGCTACTAACTAGGAGTCTTCCTAAGATTTCTGTTTGCAAAATGAAAAGTCAACTAGGAAAGGGGTGTAGAATAAAGGGGACTTGACCAATTATTTCTTTTACTTGCAGAAGCTATGATAGTCGGAACCAGCATGAGATTATTCGCTGCTTGAAAGCTTTTATGAACAACAAGGTGAGATTTTTCCCATTCTCATTTTGGTCCCCATCTGGATTCCTCACCCCCTTTTTTTGGGGGGGTACTGGTGAGTGACTCAGGAACTTGTGCCTGAGGCAGGTGCAGTGCCACTGAGCTGAATCCGCAGCTGACTCCACTGAGCTGGACTCTCCTTTTCAATCTTCTGTTGGCAGACACTAAAAAGGAAATATAAATAAGAGTTCAAGACGTTTAGCTTTGTTTGTTTAATGCTATAATTTTTCTTCATTGCCACATGTAGGTGCTTCCACAGACCTTTTTCCACAGTTCTGATGTCTGTTTCCAATAGTAGGCACAAATTTCTTCATTTTTCTTTTCATGCTTTTGCTAATTTTTAAATTTCCTGACCTGTATTTACTTTTTGTGAGGCTTACTGTTGTATTCACTGCTTATTTTTCCAGACTGTTCTCCTTTAGAATCTTTTCCTCTTTTTTTTTGTCTGTTTTTTAAACTCAGGGAGCCCATAATTGTGTGCTTCTGAGTACAAATTTACTTTCTTCACTGTTTGTTATAATTAATTCCATTGGATTGGGGGGAATATTAAAAAGAAACATAATAGTCAAAGATTTTCATTCTTGGAGGATATGAAATTTTATTTTGTCTCTTAGAAAATTGTTTTGCTGTGTGCATCTTTGTTTATCCATATTGGAAAAAGTATTCTACCTCTGTGTTAGTTTTACTAGAGTACCACAAACTGGGGGTCTGAGACACCAGAGATTTATCGTTTCACAATTCTGCAGAGTAGAAGTTCAAGAGGAGAAGTTCGAGTAGGTGTTAGCAGAGTTGGTCCTGAAGGCTGTGGGGGAGAATGTATTCCATGCCTCTCTCCTAGTTTTTGGGACCTCACTGGCATGCCATTGTGAATTTACTGTAATGTAATTAATCATACCTTCAATGAGTGTATTTCCAAATAAGTTAAGTTCACATTCCAAGGCCCTGCAGGTTAAGCTATAACATGAATTTGAAAAGTGTACAATTCAACCTATAAAAACCCTCATCTCTGTTTAGATGGTGTCATCTTTAAGCCTCCCTTCTCTGTTCTCCCAACAGTTTGGAATCAAGACCATGTTGGAGGCCGAAGAAGGAATCCTGTTGCTGGTCAGAGCCATGGATCCTGCAGTTCCCAACATGATGATTGATGCAGCTAAGCTGCTTTCTGCTCTCTGTATCCTACCACAGCCAGAGGACATGTATGTGACTAGTTATTTTTTTCTCCATTCTCATTTTTATCATTTCATCTTAGTCTATTAGATTGAGTTGCTCAGGTGTCTTCCTGATCTTAAATGTTACAGAAGACCACCGAAAATCTTAGTACAGATTAGCATTCCTAAACCAAAAGTCCAAAATGCTCCAAACTGAAACTTTTTCAGCACTATTGTCTTACCCCAAACGGAAAACTCTGCACCATGAAACTTTGCTTTATGGACAAAATTATTTAAAATACTATATGAATTACCTGTAGCCTAGGGCCAGAAATGTAACTCAGTGGCACTGATCCTGCCTGGCAAGCACAAGGTCCTGAGTTCAATTTCTAGTACTGGAAAAAAAATAAAAGACTTGAAATGGCCTTTAGCCTATATGTATAAGGTATATAGAAACAAATGAATTGTGTTTAGGTTTGCATCTTATCCCCAAGATAATTCATTATGTATATTCCAGTTATGTATACTCCATTATGTATATTCATTATGTAAATATTCCAAAACCCCCCAAAAAATGTGCAGTCTGAAATACGGTATCAAGTATTTGGGGTGAGCGGCAGCCTGTATTTAAGAAAAATTCTTAGGTGATGTGTGTGTACCACTGATCATCAGCAGGATATTTGTTACATCTCCAATGATCTTTCTTTTGTCTAGGGCAAGAATTTTTTTTTTACTGTTTTGTTTTTTAATTCAGAAGTGACACACCATTATCATTAAAATTCAAACAGTATAAAAATATATATGAAAATTTAACTGCTTTTGCCAGACCTTCTTGCACAGAGATGACCATGATTAGTGGCTGATACAGTCTTAACAGGTGTTTTTCTAAGTACAAACACTGTGCCCCTTGATTCTAAGACATCTTCTCCCACACCAAAAGATAGTATCTTAGACATAAAGAAAGACGGCTTTTGCCTATAAAACCAACTGCATGTATGGTTAGATTTTTATTTTTGTGGAGGGGTCTGGACTAAAAAGTTAAATCACAGCATTCATTCCTTTTTTTTTTTTTTGAGACAGGGTATCACTGTGTAGTTTAGGTTGGCCTTGAACTCACTATGTAGCCCAGGCTGTCCTTGAACTTGAAGTGATCCTCCTCCCTCAGCCTCCTGAGTGCTGAGATTACAGTTGTGCACCACTATGACCAACCATACCATTTATTCTTTTCAGCTTGTTTGTTTCTTTTCATTTAACAGTAGATCTATCCTTGGAGATTGACCTCATTATCTTTAGTGGTTACTTACAATTTTACATGTATGATAGATCCATAATTTATTTAACAGTTTTGCCATTGCTAGACTTCTGTGTAGTCTTTAGCAGATTCTTGCCCTTGCTCTAGGTAATAAGAATTTTTATTAATACAAATGATGTAACAAGTATCTCTGTACGTATCTGCTTTCACCTTTATACATTTATAGATAGATTTCTAGAAGTAAGCAAAGTGTTATGTGCATTAGAAATCAGTTAATATTATTAAATACCTCTCAGGAAGTTGAACCAATTTATTATTTCATAGCTCAGGAGCCTTAATTTAGTATCCATAGGTAGGAATCTATAAATGGATTTTAGGTAATACATTTTTCTGAAGAGATGGTCTGTAGCTTTTCACAGATCCTGACTCCTGTTCTTGGGGGTGGTGGGAGATAATTTGAGAAATCTGAAGCATTGATAATATACTATTTCCTAGCCAGGCATGGTGCCACAAGCCTGTAATCCCAGCACTTGCACTTGGGAGGCTGAGGCAGGAGTATCACTTTGAGTTTGAGGCGAGCCTAGGCTACATAGTTCAAGGCCAAACCTGAACTACATAGTGAGACTCTGTCTTAAAAAACTAAAAAGAGAAGGAAAGAAAATGTTTACTGTTTTCTAACTGGTCTGTGTCCCGTACAACCCAACTATTATACTTGGCTGTCAGAGAACCTGGGCAGTACCCTCCATTTTCTTTTTTTGGGGCAGGAATGAACGAGTTTTGGAGGCAATGACAGAAAGAGCTGAAATGGATGAAGTGGGACGTTTCCAGCCTCTGCTGGATGGATTAAAAAGTGGGACCTCCATTGCAGTAAAGGCATGTATACACCTCAAAACTCAACCCAAAATAGAATTCAAGATAGAAAGACCTAAGTTCTTCTGACCTTTTAATGGAACATATGGAGTGGTTTCCAGTTGTTTTATTTTATGTGGAGAATTTGTTCTGGAGGGAAAATGACTAAAGAATGAACTATTTTCTTCATGAAATGGAAAAAGGCATGGTATCTATCTGCATGTTAGGAAAACCAGTTGTATGATAACATATACTGTCTGATCCTTGGAATCATTATACTTCTGAGCTCTCCAGACCTGTGTTCAAACCAGGTCTCACTGCTGTAGTAGAAAAATCATTCCTATAGTTTTTATATGGCTATCTTTTGGTTTCATTTGGAGCCCCAGAATGCATGTAAAGAGAATGGAATCTTCATCTGTAGGATTTAGTATTGACACTGCTGATTTCTTTTTTTAGGTGGGATGCCTACAGCTGATCAATGCTCTCATCACTCCAGCTGAAGAGCTTGACTTCCGAGTTCACATCAGAAGTGAACTGATGCGCTTGGGACTGCACCAGGTGTTGCAGGTATGCAGTACCACAGTTAACACTTCATTAGAAAGTCTGGCCTATTCCTTCCACTTCTTACAGCCCCAAACATCCCAGGGATAACTGGTTTGCAGTGTAAAAACCAGGTGAAAGGTTTTGGTTTCTAGTCACATAAGACACCTCTGGTTTCCATATTTTTACTTTGGTCATTGACAGGACCTTCGAGAGATTGAAAATGATGATATGAAAGTGCAGCTCACTGTGTTTGATGAACAAGCAGAAGAAGATTCCTATGATCTAAAGGGACGGCTAGATGACATTCGTATGGAGATGGAATATCCTTTTACTGACAGGGTGTAAGACAAATGAGGCATTCATTGCACTCAGTTATAGTCTCTTGTATGGAATGGTGTGGGAGATAATGACTCAGAACAGAGCATTGGGCTTCTGTGTCTTCCTGGTAAATAAAGCAGGTATCTTTTTATTGCTTTTGGCTTTATTCACCTCACCATTGCCCAAGGAAGTTGATAAATGTAATCTAAGCAGTCATCAAATATTGATATAAACTTCCTGGGACATGATAGCTTAGCATACTGCAGTGTACAGCTTGGTTTTTTAGAGATGACTGGACTGACAGCAGTACTAATATGGTTACCTATTAATGTTTGCTACAAGTGACATTGAAATAGTTATATTTTTAGTTTCTGTGTACTGCTTATCTTCAAATAGCCAAATAGTAGGAATCCTGTCTCATCCTTGACTAAAGAAACTTCCAAGTTTCTTGTGATGTTTATGAAGGGACAACCATTGGAATGGAGGTGGCATCTTAGTACTTTTCCTTAGTCTCCCAGAGTTGAGTAAGTCAACAGTCAAATACAGTTTCTAACTGTTTTCTTTCCTTAGTCTGTTCCTCTTTCCACTGACTTTAGTGAAGTCTTCCAGATTCTCTTAAACACTGTGAAGGACTCAAAGGCAGAACCACACTTCCTGTCCATCCTACAGCATCTACTGTTGGTCCGAAATGACTACGAGGCTAGGTAAGACAGTAAGCCTGTGGGTAACTTTGAATTTAAGCCTACATGAAGAGAGCAAAATCCTTAAATTTGAAGTGTTTTTTTATAAAGGTAAAAGGAAAATACAAAAGCCATAGATTAGATTTCATTAGTCACAGATACAAAGGAAGTTGTCATTTGTTCTTTTAATCCAACTGAGGTGTCCCTATGGAGGAGGTCAGAGTATATAGTGAAATGCCGTTCCCTAAAAGGGAGAAAGTAAGTGAGGATGATAACAAAGGAAAGTGACACTTTAAAATTCTTCCTGCTTGCCTGAAAGTGGCGATTCAGCAGTAGCATTATCCATCACGGGAAGGATCAAGCCCAGGCATTTAGATGGAAAGTACTCGCACTAGGAAGCAGATGGCAATTTTTTTTTAACCTTTTGTGGCAGTGCTAGGGATTGAACCAAGGGCTTCATACATGCTAAGCACATGCTCTACCACTGAGCTGCATCTCTAGCCTGTAAGAATTTTTGATTATTAGAAGTAGAAAGAGTAGAAGATGTGGACTTTCTTTACATGACAGTGCTACTTCTGTTAACTTTACAAAAAGTTCTTTCCCAGAACACTTATCCTTTGTTGGCAAAGTAGTTAAGTTTTATTGACTAAATACTTCTTTATCTTTTTGGTATTGGGGATCGATCAAACTTGGGTCCTTGCTCTTGCAATGCAGGCAGTGGAACCACTGAGTTAAATCCCCAGCCCTCTAAATACTTCTTGTATTTTGATTTCCCTCTGATAATCCTGTTTTGTTTTTTCCATAGACCACAGTACTATAAGTTGATTGAGGAATGTATTTCGCAGATAGTCCTTCATAAGAATGGGGCTGATCCTGACTTCAAGTGCCGGCACCTCCAGATTGATATTGAAGGATTGATTGGTAAGCATATACTCTTCTATTGGGTTTCTCAAAACATTTATTGTTTAAAGAACTGTATCCTTTCCAGTCCCAGATATAAGCATATATTGTCCTTTAGTTTATTTCTACATAAGTCTAAAAGAAATATTTCCAATCCCCAATATAGGAATATGTAGTCCTTAAGTTTATTTCTACTTAACTCTAAAAATCTGTTCTTTTTCACATGCCCCTTTCTGGTAGATACTTCAGCTATTACATATATTCCTTGTTTAATGACATATTTAACAACTGTTCAGACACAACTGAGGTGCAGTTACTTACAACTCGTCATTTTTTTTGTATAGTTTTGTACATCTTGTTTGTAGAACTTCATTTTTTTGTACAGTGCACTTTGTTCATACAGTACTGTAATTTTTGCTGATTGTACTGTATAGTACTGTAGTTTTATATTCTGATGTACATTATACATTATAGTATTGTATGTAAGAGTTGTGCAAATAAAGGGAAAGTCATTAAGTTGGAATTTCCTTTGACCATTTCTTTGTTCTGAATATTTCACTGCACATACTATAGTCAGTTCCTTATTGACCAGTTTAATTAATGACCTAGTCACAGTAGCAGAACACAGTCATTAAATAAGGAATGCCTGGATTTGTGACTCCTGCTGGCCCCAGAGAGTTGTAAATATTACTCATAGGTATTTGTAATGCTACCCAGTGTGGTAACCCTACCTTGCATTTAGAAATTGTAGGTTGAACTTAACTGAAAGTTCTATCTCTTGGTCTAGTGCAGAATATTAAGCATGAAAACGTAAATAACCACAAGGACAGATGACTGCTGTTCAGTAGATTGAAAGGCTTAGGAATGAAAACACTAAAAGAATTTCACTTATCTTTTCTTTTCAGATCAAATGATTGATAAAACAAAGGTAGAGAAATCTGAAGCCAAAGCTACAGAGTTGGAAAAAAAGGTGTGTATGAGGAATCAGTGTGAGGATGCTTGCCTAACATGCACAATGCCCTGGGTTTGAGCTCCAACCCCACCCTCATTTTGTCTTTTTTGTTGTTTGTTTAGCAATTATTTTTCTGGTAAGACTTTTTGTCTTTGATAGTTAATATAGAATAGAGAGGGTAATACAGATATAAACATGAGGAGTTGGAGGTGGACTCATACAGTTCTTGGGCTATGGGCAGGACAAGAAAGACAGATGATATATAATGATGGTGGCACTCCTAGGTTTGCTTGATGTCTGATGTCACTTATCCCCACAAAAGTAGAAACTGGAATATGTCTGGGCTCTTTTTCTTTTTAATTATTAATAAGGACTCCCATCATGGTTGATATATTTTGGATCCTAGTACCTGCTAGGATTGTACCACCATGCTATCCTAGTCAAAACATATTTCAAAGATTTCTTTTTTAAGTAGAAAGACCTTTTTTTTTTTTGGTACTGGGGATTGAATTCGGGTCCTTGTGCTTGCAAGGCAGGCCACCGAACCACTGAACTAAATCTCCGGCCCTAGACCATGAATTTTTTGTTCTCCTCTCCTTTAACTTAGATTTATTTATTTATTATTTTTTTGGTACTGGATATCAAACTCAGGTTCTTACGCTTTCAAGGCAGGCACAGTGCCACTGAGCAAAATCCCTGGCCCTATTTTAGATTTTAGGGTCAAAATCTTGGTTTTGTTTTTTGTGAGGCACTGCCTAAGATGTGGATCTATAGAACAAATAATTGACACAAAACATAAATTAAGGGAATAACACTTGTGCTTCTTACTGGATTGGAGAGCTTACTGGGAGCCTGATTACTTTCTTCTTTAGCTGGACTCAGAGTTAACAGCCCGACATGAGCTACAAGTGGAAATGAAAAAGATGGAAAGTGACTTTGAACAGAAACTTCAGAATCTTCAGGGAGAAAAGGATGTGTTGGATTCGGAAAAGCAACAAATTGCTGTAGAGAAACAGGAACTGGAAGTAGAGATGTCCCAGCTCACAGGAGAGGTAACTGAGAAGGGAAAACGGGAAGGTGGAATGCCCGAAACTGCCATCAGCAAGTATCTTAGAACAGGTCTCAGTTGCCTCACTTCTGGAGAGGGGTGGGTAATATATAATCGAGTTAGATGGTGCATATTTTAAAAATCTTTGTTTTTAGTTTTATCTCAGGAGTAAATATTATGTAAGAAATTGTAAAAATACAAGAAAGCAAAAAATGAATTATTCATTACTACCCAGAAATAAAAGTAATAAACTACTAATAAATTTAGGAGTAAAAACTAAATTGTTTACTTATTTGCTAATTTTCCCTTATTGTTATCTATGGACAGATCTTACACTCTCTCTGCAGTTATGTTTAAATATGTGTCATCTGACAGTTTGATCACTTATGTGATTATATCATTACCCAGATAGCACATTCTTAGTTACATAACTAGAATATTTTATTTATTTGACCTTTACATTCTCTAATGGAAGGAAGAGTATAATATAGTCTTTTTTTGTACAGAGCATAAACTAAGAACATAAAGTCTTGAGTTCTGGTGTTTTTTGTTTTTTTTTTGTTTTTTTGTACTGGGGTCAAACTTGGGACCTGGCACTTGCGAGGCAGGTGGCGGCTCCACTGATCTAAATACCTGGCCTTGAATTCTAGTTTAAGCTCTGGCACTAAATAGCAGTAAGACTTTAGACAAATCATGTGATCTGTCTAACTATACTTTCAGTCTTTCCATGTGTAAAATGAGAAGTTTGGATTGAGTATTTCTCAGTTTCAGCCCTAGCGGTTCCTGAAGTGGGACATCACATTAGTGTTATTTCTGCAGGTTGCCAAGCTGTCAAAAGAACTGGAAGATGCCAAGAAAGAAATAGTTTCTCTGTCTGCTGCAGCTGTTGCTGTAGCTCCTTCTGTTCTTAGTAGTACTACTGTTCCCCCTGCCCCTCCTCTGCCTGGTGCCTCTGGCACTGTTAGTTCAACCCCAGCTCCTCCTCCTCCCCTTCCTGGAGTTGGTTCTAATCTTCCACCAACTTCCCTTTTGCCTGGGAATGTTTGTGGCATCCCCCCACCACCTCCTTTGCCTGGGGGTGCTGGCATCCCCCCACCACCTCCTTTGCCTGGGGGTGCTGGCATCCCCCCACCACCTCCTTTGCCTGGGGGTGCTGGCATCCCCCCACCACCTCCTTTGCCTGGGGGTGCTGGCATCCCCCCACCACCTCCTTTGCCTGGGGGTGCTGGCATCCCCCCACCACCTCCTTTGCCTGGGGGTGCTGGCATCCCCCCACCACCTCCTTTGCCTGGGGGTGCTGGCATCCCCCCACCACCTCCTTTGCCTGGGGGTGCTGGCATCCCCCCACCACCTCCTTTGCCTGGGGGTGCTGGCATCCCCCCACCACCTCCTTTGCCTGGGGGTGCTGGCATCCCCCCACCACCTCCCTTGCCCGGAGGAGCAGGAATACCACCTCCTCCGCCACTTCTTGGTGATCCTGGGATTCCTCCACCCCCTCCATTTCCTGGAGGTCCTGGCATTCCTCCACCTCCACCTGGAATGGGTATACCTCCACCTCCCCCTTTTGGATTTGGAGTTCCTGCAGCCCCAGTTCTGCCTTTTGGTTTAACCCCTAAAAAGGTTTATAAGCCAGAGGTGCAACTCCGGAGGCCAAACTGGTCCAAGGTAAGAGTTTCTATCCATCTCCATCATAGATCTTAAGAAACAACTTCAGTTTCCTACTTTGTATTTTGTGCATGGATGGGCTTCCCTTCCTTGTATCTGTCAGTCTCAATGTTCCTCTCATCTTATGTTTATTCAACATTTCTTGGATTTCTGACATTACCATGGAGAGTCCTGTGGGCACGGTACTCTGGACTTGTCCCAACTAAACTTTCAAGTTAATGTTTTGTTCATTCATTTGTTTGTTTTTTCTTTTGTCTTTTCTCTGAGGATATAAGTACCATGGTAAAATATAGTTTGACAGCAGTCATTTCACCAGTCTGAAAATGATTTGAAATTGTGCTGATGGACTCCCACTCTCCAGGATGAGTGTTACAAAGTCTATACAGATATGCCCAAGATATATCTGAGATTCAGTCAGTTTTGCTTCCAGAAACTCAAAAGTAAGGTTAGCCAAATTAATGTAAAATACATAGAGCAAGGAAAGATGTGAAATAAAGCCTTCCTGCTTCTAAAGTTAGATTTTGTTTTAGAAAGAGGATGACTAGCATAATTGAATCTAGTTCTTGATTAATTAGCAGTAAAGAAACTGACAGCCTCATCTCCTGATCCCACCACAAAAAAAAACATAGGTGTTTGTCTTTTTTTTTTTTTTGAGACAGGGTCTCATTTTGTAGTTCAGGCTGGCCTTGAACTCACAGCTACCCTCTTGCCTCAGCCTCCGAATTCTGGTTTATAGCCATGCACCATCACTCCCAGCTGGTGTTTGTGTCTTAGGTTAGTCTGGATAGTAAAATATTAATAACCAGCCAGGTTACCTCTTTTGTATCTTAATCAGTTTTCTAAGAAGAAAAGTACTGGGTTTGGCTGAGTTACCTTTAACATTCTGTCTGTATCCACAGTTTGTGGCTGAGGATCTTTCCCAGGACTGCTTCTGGTCAAAGGTGAAAGAGGACCGTTATGAGAACAGTGAACTTTTCGCCAAACTTACCCATACCTTTTCTGCCCAGACCAAAAGTGAGTACTTCCTCTTTAATGCCAAGGTCTATTGTAAGGCTTAGAATATCCTTCAAGTTTCCCATCCAATTCCCTTCTTGGTGTAGGTGTTGGGGTAGGTAGTGTTAGGTAGAAGAGAAATGTATTTTTCCATTCATAACAGTGTTTTTGTACTGTGGGATTATTGGAATTGGGAAAGAGAACTGTTTTGTGTAGGTATTCTGTGTCAAATATGACTTGTGGGTATATGAGATTAAAGTGCCAGAAGCTCCGTTTGGGGCCATTTCGATGACATCCTTGAGTGGATTCAGGCGTTGCCTCAAGATGCCATTTCTGGCCTCAAGCAACCTAATTAGCAAGGGTTGGAGGGATTGTCTACAATAACAAAAAACTATGTTTGATTCCTTTTCTTCTTTTTCTTTCCAATATCTGATGCTGTCTCCTTCCTGGCCCTTTGTTCCTGCAGCTTCCAAAGGTAAGAATACAAAAGAGCCTTTCAGTTGCATCTCTTGAATGCTAGGAAAAAAGATAAAGTAGATGAAAAGGATTTTTCTTTTAGAAAACTGAGACCAGAGGTTGAGGGTTGATATCTCTTTTGTAGGACCAGTAACTATGGTATTGACTAAATAACAACCAAGTTATATTAATGCTATTACATACTTGTTTCTTTGGAAGGTGAAGGACAACTTAATAATACCATTTAGAATTTTCAAAGTTTTAATATATTAGTACTCTGTTTGATGTAGTGAAGCCTTATGAGACAGGCCAGGTGTACATTGTGTCCATTCTGTAGTACAGATAGAGGGAATAGCTAGATAGTTTTCCCCAGGTTATATGACCAGATGCAAGCATCTTGACTTACAGTCCATGGTTTCTATGTAAATTCTTAGTTTTCTTTTTTACCTTCCTTCATATGTTCCCCTTTATTTTAGAAGGACTGATCTGCTTTGCCATCTTGCTTCACTTCCTAATTCTTGTGGTTTTGTGCTGCCTTTTGATAGGGCACTTGTAATTATTTTTCCTGAGAAATACAGTACTTGAAAGACTTTGTCATATATGATAATTAGAGCCTAATACTTCTGTATTTCCATCATTTCCCAGCATTATTGTTCATTTAGAGGTTTATTCTCTCCCAAGTGATGAACATTAAATGCAACTTTGGAGTATTTCCTCTCCTATCTTCCCCCTGTAAATTAACATTTATAAAAGACATTATTTTTTTACATAAGTGATGTGGAACCAGGTTACACTTTGTTCTAATAAAGAGACTAACAGATTGCTGGGCACCTTTGGTTACCTTAGTTATATGTGTGTTTCTATCTAGAAGTGAAAGATCATAATGCTCAGGCCTGTCTGTAGCCCTATCACTCAGGGAAACGTGGCCTTTTCCTTTAAGAGAACTGTCATCTTACGATGCAGGAATTACTTCCATTCTATTAGAAATACCAACGAAGACTAGTTGACAGTGAAAATAGAAATCAAATTATTTTCTAATTTGTGAGTTCATAGCATCCATTACTGTATTGCTCTTTGGTATAAGTTCCTTTCTCGAGCCTGGGCTCTATACTGAGTTCTCCTGCAGGTGTACAGTAACTGAACCTCTTTTCTCTTTCCATCCTTCTTTTATCCTGTTGGTTTCAATTCTTACTGATTTTAGCTGGGTTTTCTGCCATGTAGTAGTGTTCCTTGACATTATGCTGACATTCTCAACATTTTTTTTTTTTTTTGGTACCGGGGATTGAACTCTACATTCTCAACATTTTAACAAGAAGAACTTTATCTCATCTTTCATTATTTTCAACAGTGTAGCCAGACTTTTAATCCTGCTCAGTTTCTGCTCAAGAAATTGCTTTCTATTTATTGAGAGTTCTAATTCATAGCAGTTTTGCTTTAAAAAGAAAAAATTATTCTCAGGAACTTCTATCAGAAAAAAACAAGTATGAATCCTTTTATTTTAGTAGCAGTATTAATTTTCATGTAATAGTAATGATTCCTGGTAGATGGCTGCTGTTTTGATGAAGGAAATTTGAAACTGGTCTTTAAATATCTTTAGTTATAGTTAGAGTATTCAGGTATTAAATTGTCAGACTGTCTTAATTTCTTAATCTTTTAGTAGGAAGCATTAGAGAAAGTCTCCTTAAATTACTAAGACATGAGTGCTTTTCTATATACCCTAAATTTTAATCATTTAGAGAAATTTCTGGGAGAAAATTTTTTGGTCAAATACAGTCATGAATACTTACTATTTGTCCAACTCTTAACAGTTACCTGCAGCGTCTCAGTACAACACCACGTTCCTGCTTCTCATTGACCGTATAACATCTTTATGTTTTTAATAATTGACCCCAGAGAACAAGCCCCCCCACTTTGGTACCAGGTATCGAACTCAGGACCTTGCACTTGCAAGGTAGGCAGCAGAACCGCTGAGCTGAATCCCCGACCCTAGCACTTTCCTTTTTTAAAAAAATTGTTTCTTTGGATTTTCAGTGCTTTATTGACTCCAATGTTGTCTAATTTATTTTTCCTTCAACATTTTCCTGCTTTCCCTTTTACCTACTTAGTAAATCTGTAGTGAGGCAAGATGTATTTGAGTGCTGGAGCTTGTTTAATGTGTCTCTCTTGGGAACAAAATTGTTGCCTTGACATTTTTTCCTCCCTGGTATTGGTGATTGAATCCATCAGGGCACTCTGTCTACCACTGAGGAACATCCCCAGGCCTAGTTATTCATTTATGTATATATTTTTGAGATAGGTTCTTACTAAGGTGCCCAGGCAGGATTTAAATTTATGGTCGTCCTGCCTCGGCCTTCCTAAGTGGTGGGACTACCAAAGCATGCATTATCATGCCTAGATGCATTGACATCTTAAGCATGGCAATCAGGTGGCAGCAGGAAGTGCCATATGTGGACTCCAATATATTATCACACCTGTTGTGGTTGTCGTAACTAACTTGTCCTACTTCCTGATGGCATTTTCAGTCTTTCTCTTTTGGTATCAAGGCTGGCAAACTCAACACAGATGATTCATACACAGAAAAAGAACATTTTAGTTTTTAGGCTTCTCAGATTCAGAGTACATATTTTATCAAGAAAGGAATGTGTGTTTTTGAAATAGAGTCTCATTCCGTAGCTCAGGCTGGCCTTGAACTTGTGATCCTCCTGCCCCTGCCTCCCTAGTACTGAGGTAACAGGAATAGAAAAGGTACCCTCTATCCTGTGTCTTACACACCACACCCACTGGCGATGGAGCCCAGTGCCTTCTCACTGACCCATATCTGCCCCCACCAAATACTTTATTTTGAGACAGGGTCTCACTAAGTTGCCCAGACTGGGCTTGAACTTGTGTAAGTTGCCCAGACTGGGCTTGAACTTGTGATCCTTCTGTCTTAGTCTCCCAGGGTGCTGGAATTACAGGTGTTTACATGTGATTACAGCCACCATGCCCAGAAATTTTAAGCTCTCAAAACTTGAGAAGTGGAGACTCAGGGAGTTAGATCCTTCAGTATGATAGCAAGATTTACTTTGCTTCCAATGCTTTAAATGTGTGTTATATACATTCAGAAAAAGATCTTTGTTCTTTTAAAATTATTCAAAACATTATAGAAAATGACAGAGCCAATGTTCAAGCCCTAGACTGACTCCAAAGTGTTTACTCAAGCCCCCTGCTCCCCAGAAATGTACTTGCCCTAGGAGCCTCTGATATCTTAGATCTAAACAAAAGCTGCAAGTTGGCTTCAGCAGCCATTTCATTCCTTTAAGCACAGATATCCTTAAATTGGCAGTATCTCTTCAGAGTAGAAAAAAGGAAACTGTAGACTAGAGGAAGTAGATGAGAGGCTGGATGTTTACCATTATAGAAGAGGTATGCTCTGATTATAAGAATATTTTTTAGCAAAACTGTCTAGTTGGAGAAATGCAACATGCTTATCGGGTATAGTATAAGCTCTACTTGGGTGATTTCAGCCCAGTAGTTGCCCAGTGTTGATGAGGAAATTGTTTGGACACTAGGTTTTCATCATATTGCACTATTTCCTTGCTTGCTAAACACAACTGCTATTTGTTAAACATGCTTCTTATTTCCCATTTGTTCTGTTGTTATCTAAAACCTCATGTATTCTTAGTGATTTTGGCCACTGATGGAAATACCTACCTTACTCTACACATCTGCCTTCTATAGTCAAAGGTGCCTCCAGAAACTTTCTCATTAAGATTCAAGCATACAACCAGGCTTGGTGGATCACGCCTGTAATCCCAGCCCTTGGGAGGCTGAGGCAGGAGGAACACTGAGTTTGGAGCCAGTGTGGGCTACGCATTGAATTCAAGGCCAGTTTGAACTGCATAGCAAGACCCTGTCTCAAAAAAAAAAAAAAAAAAAAAAAAAAAAAAAAAAAAAAAAAAAAATAAAAAAAAAAAAAAAAAAAAAAAAAAAAAAAAAAAAAAAAAAAAAAAAAAAAAAATTGTGCTTTTTTACTAAGAGGAGAGCTAAGAGACAGGAACTGGTCCTAGAATTTACACATCAGATTCTCCTACACATTACTTCTCCTTAAAGTATTAGTCTGTTGTTTCTGAGCTCTACTTCCTATAAATCAAGAACCTACTCAGTAAGTTATGCCTTTCCAGGGAATATATTGAATTTGGATTTTTATAGATGGTGCCATAAAATTTTTAGTCCTTTTTCACTTTCTCAGTTTCCTTATAATGATCAGCAAAGGAGTCTTATCATGAACTCTGTATTGACTCCATTTTTTAATTCCTTGGAAACATGCAGTAGTTAAATTTCATCTTGTCCAAGAGAACCTTTCTTTCATCACTGTAGTGGCCTTGGGCAGGTCATTAAAAGTGTCACCTCTTGAACCATCACACGGTGAGTAAAAACTGATGGCCTAAGTACAGTGACTTCTCTTTTTAGGTGTATTCTTTCATTCCAAATCTTTTCTGAACCCATTACATTAAAAAAATTCACTCTTAGGTATGGACTGCACCACGTGGAGCATTAGGTCTGGTGAAGTATGAGATGCATTCTGAGAAGTGTGAGCATCAGAACAGTTCTCCAAGTGTTTGATTACAGGGATTTAGAAAGAACTCTGGCTGAAAAGATCTTGGCTCAGAGTTGAGAATTTCATTAAATAGCCTTAGTATTCAAGTTAGGATTTGTCTGTGTGAGTCCAGATTCTAAGGCTTCATTTGTTGCCCCAGAAGACAAGGTGCTCTGTTGGCACCAAAAGGAACCTGTGGTGGGGAGTAATCCCCTCTTCAGGAAAGATCTAAGGGTAGTTTTCTGTTTCTTTGTGATTTCTCTTCTGTCCACTAGGTGGCACCAGCCTGTTCCTTTTAGTTTTATATAGTGAATTTTCTGCTACTTTAACTTTAGAAACAAAATTTTATTTAAATAATTTTTTATTGGTACATGCTTGTAGAAATAAGATTTTCAAAAGAGCTCAACCTGCCCTACCCTGGTCACTGAGCCTCTTGGCTG